AGTGTCACTGGCCCTCATATGTGGGATCCGAACCGGGGCCCTCTGGCATCCCAAGCGAGTTCTTAACCATCGCGCCACTCGGCCGGCCCCCTGTGCCCATTTTTTAATCAGATTGTTTTTGTGATATTGAATTGTGTGAGTCATTTATATATTTTGGATATTAACCTCTTATACATGATTTGCAAATGTTTTCTTCCATTCAGTGAGCTGCCTTTTCATTTTGTTGATGGTTTCCTTTACTGTGTAGAAGCTTCTTGGTTTGATGTAGTACCACTTGTTTATTTTTGCTTTTGTTGCCTTTGCTTTTAGTGTCAAATCCAAAAGGTTATTGCCAAGACCAATGTCAAGGAACTTACCCATTTTGTTTTCTTCTGGGTGTTTGTGGTTTCAGGTCTTATGTTCGAATCTTTAATTCATTTCGAATTGATTTTTGTGTATGGTGTGAGGTAGGGGTCCAGTGTCATTCTTTTGCATATGGCTGTCTGTTTTTCTCAGCACCGTTTTTTGAAGAGACCGTTCTTTCCTTAGTGTATATTCTTGGCTCCTTTGTAATAAATTAATTGACCATATATGCGTGGGTTTATTTTTGAGCTTTCTGTTTTGTTCCATTGATCTGTGTACCTGTTTTTATGCCAGCATCATACTATTTTGATTGCTATAGTTTTGTAATATAGTTTGAAATCAGGAAATGTGTTGCTTCCAGTTTTGTTGTTCTTTCTCAAGATTGCTTTGGCTGTTTGGGCTCTTTTGTGATTCCATACAAATTTTAGGATTGTTTTTTCTACTAATGTGAAAAATGCCATTGGAATTTTGGTAGTAATTGCATTAAATTCATAGACTGCTTTGGGTAGTATGGACATTTTTAACAATATTAATTCTTCCAACCCACGAGCATGGAATATCTCTCCATTTATTTTGGTCTTCTGTTTCTTACATCCACGATTTGTAGTTTTCAGATCTTTCACCCCCTTGGTTAAATTTATTCCTGGTATTTTATTTTTGATGCAATTGTAAATGGGATTATTTTTAAAAATTTCTCTTTCTGATAGTTTGTTATTAGTGTACAGGAACAAAATTGATTTTTGTGTATTGATTTTGTATCCTGCAACTTTACTGAGTTTAAGTATTAGTTCTGACAGTTCTTTTGGGGGAGTCTTTAGGTTTTTTTAAATTTAATATTATGTTACCTGCAAATAGAGACAGTTTTATTTCTTTCTTTTTGATTTGATGTCTTTTACTTCTTTACCTTGCCTAATTGTTCTGGCTAGGACTTCCAGTACTGTGTTGAATAAATGGCGAAAGTGGGCATCCTTGTCTTGTTCCTCATCTTAGAGGAAGGCTTTCAGTTTATCACCATTGAGTGTGATGTTGAGTATAATGGACACTTTTCTCTAATTTGGGGGAAATGTGAGCTGACTTGACATTTATGAGCAAAAGGGATGTTTCCTTGGAGAAAGTTCTCATTTGGCAGAACTGTTACTGAAACATCACTGTAATCAGTAATACCAATGAGTCATTTGAATTTAACTCTTGGTATAAGAATTGTTACCAGTGACCTTGGTTTGGATTGGCATGCTTTATGATAAAGTAATTATTTCTGAATATCTGATAATTCAGAGGAAAAAATCT